CCTCGAATTGTGATTTCAGGTTGTTAATTTGAGAGCTTTCTAACTTTTTGATATGGGCATTTAGTGCTATAAACTTTCCTCTTTACAGGGCTCTAAATATGTCCTAGAGATTCTGTTATGTTGTATCTTTGTTCTCATTAGGTTCCAATAATTCCTTAATCTCTGTCTTAGTTTCATTATTTGCCCAGAGCACATTCAGGAAGAGATTGTTTATTTCCATGTAATTGTATGGTTTTGAGTAATTTTCTTAGTATTGATTTTTCTATTGCACTGTGGTCTGGGCAAGGTTGGTCTGATTGCAGGTTTTTTTTTTTTTTTTTTCATTTGCTCCAGATTGTTTTATGCCTGATTGTGTGCTTGATTTTATAGTATGTGCCATATGCAGATAAGAAGACTGTATATTCTGCTCTTTTAAGGTAGAGAGGTCTATAGATGTTTATCAGGTCCATTTGTTCAAATATCCAGTTCAGTTCCTGAATATCTTTGTTCAGTTTTCTGCCTCAATGGTCAGTCTATTTCTCTCAGTGTGGTGTTGAAGTCTCCCACTAAGTCCCCTTGTCGGTCTCTAAGAGCTTGCTTTATAAATCTGGGTGCTTGTGTTGGGTGCGTATGTATTTAGGACAATTAGGTCTTTTTGTTTAGAATAACTCTTTGCTACTATGTGACATTATGTGATGCTTCACTTTGTCTTTTTTGATCTTTTGGTTTTGTTTTATTTAAAGTCTGTTTTGTCTGAAATTAGAATAGCCGCCCCTGCCTTTTTATGATTTCCATTAACTTGACAGATTTTTCTCCATCCCTTTACTTTGAGCCTATGGGTGTCATTGCATGTGACATGGATCTCTTGAATACAGTATACCATTGGGTTTTGCTTCCTATATCAACTTGCCATTCTGTGGCCTTTATTTGGGGAGTTTAGCCCATTTATATTCAAAATTACTATTGATATGTCTGGATTTGATCCTGTCATCACTTTGTTAGCTGGTTATTATGCAGACTTGTTTGTGTGGCTGCTTTATGCTGTCACTGTTCTATGTTACTGTGTTTTTGTAGTGGCCAGTAATGGTCTTTACTTTCCATATTTAGCACTCATTTTAGGACTGCTTGTAAGGCAGGTCTGGTGTTAACAATCCTCCTTAGCATTTTCTTGTCTGAGAAGAATCTGATTTCTCCTTTGCTTATGAAGCTTAGTTTGGCTGGATATGAAATTCTTGGTTGAAAATTCTTTCCCTTAGGAATTCTGAATATAGGCCCCCAGTCTCTTCTGGATTGCAGTGTCTGCCATTGGTCTGCTGTTAGCCTGATGGGGTTTTGTTTGTAAGTGACCTGCCTCTTCTCTCTAGTTGTCTTTAACATTTTTTTTTTCTTTCATTTCAACATTAAGAATTTGATGATTATGTGTCTTGGGGGTAGTCTTCTTCTGTAGTATCTGACAAGGTTTCTCTGCATTTCCTGAATTTGGGTGTTGGCCTCTCTACCCAAGTTGGGGAAATTTTCATGGCTGATATCTTGAAATATATTTTCCAAGGTGCTTGGTTTTTCTCCCTCTCTTTCAGGGACACCAATGTGTTATAGATTTACCTGAGTACATATTTCTCAGGGGTTTTGTTCATTCTTCTCTGTTGATTTTTAAAACTTTTTTTCTGACAAAGTTATTTCATACAGCCACTCTTCAAGTTCTGAAATTCTTTCCTCAGCTTGGTCAATTCTACTGTCAATACTTGCAATTGGATTAAGATACTCTTCTAGTTTGTTTTTCAGCTCTGTCTGGTCATTTTGCTTCTTTCTTATAATAGCCATTTTGTCTATCAGCTTCTGTATTTTAAAATTTGAATCCTTACATAACACAGAGAGGGTCTGATTACCTCCTGCATCTCAATGATCTTCATTCCTATCAATATTCTGCATTCTATTTCTGTCGTATCAGTCATTTCAGCCTGGGTAAGAAACATTTCTGGTGAGCTCATGCAATTATTTGGAGGTAAGGAGATACTCTTGCTTTTTGAGTTGTCAGAGTTCTTACACTGGTTCTTTCTCATTTGTGTGGACTGCTGTTCCTTTAATCTTTGAAGTTGCTGTCCTTCGGAAATATTATGCTTTTTTCTTTCTTCATGCCCTTGGGAATTTGATTATGGTATAAGGTGGGTGTGGTTCACTGACTTCTAGTCTGCTCCTTGGGTCTTAGAGAAGCCCCCTCTGATTACTGTCTCCATGCTCGTGTTTCTATTGTAGGGTATTCTGGTCAATGTGGCTCCCTCAGGTAGGGGCTGCAGTTGGCATACAAATGGCATCCTTGCCAGGTCAGCCCCAATGTGCTGTCTGTGTTCTTCATAGGGAAACAAGGTCTGTGCCTGCCCAAAGAGTTCAGGTTGAAACAGGACTGCTGAGGTAGAAGCCATAGCAGGTATGGCCCATCTGGGTATGAGAGGTGGGATGGCTGGAGTTGCCCCCACACCATCTGGGTATTTTTAGGGAAACAGGAGGTTTCACCCCTTGGCAAATGTAGGCGGAAGTAGCACCACTGGGCTAGAAACGCTAGCAGGTGTAGCTTGCCTGGCTACCAGTGGTGGGATGGGTGGGGAGACCCACGCTGCCATCTGGGTGCTTCCTGGGAAAACAGGAAGCTCTAAGTCTTGTTTTAAATAACTACACATACTAAAAGCTACTAAGGATTAAATTTTAGCTTCCTATTCAGTGAATATTTTGAATAAAATTTTCAACTTTAAATAAATTTCAACTGAAATATAGGTGTTGCCTTACATAATGTTAAATACCGCACATGGTTCTTTAGGTTGATTTATAAAATAGTTTTTCCAAGGACAGATATTTCTAAAATATAACTGATAATGGGCATCAGAGTGCAAAATATCATAATATGCAGAATTTTGTTTTGTTTTGTACAAGAGCCACATAACTAAAATTTTGTATTTTAATTATATTCTGTCTGTATGTGTATGCATAAGTAAACTCAGATAACTACAAGTTCTATTTCGATTGGCAAAATATGACAGCTAATAATAACCTTACGGTAGCATTCAGAGTAATGGCTAGGGTTTAGCCTTTGACAGAATGAATTTTTAATGACTTCACTTTGATTTCACAAATTGGATTTTAAAAATTAACCTATATCAGGATTCCACTGACTTTGTATTTGAAGTTATCTGATGACATAGATATATACTGGGATCATTTTATTATCTATGGAGTTCTGTTAGCATAGCCACACATTCATGGTTATTTCATTTTTTGTAGTGCATAGGAAGTGCATAGGAAAACTTGAAGATGAGTATAGTGAAAACAATTTTGGAAAGAAATCTTTGAATGCAAATTTGGCTTTCCTAGGGAGGTGTGTAAACACACTTTCAGCAGTTACTCTTGCTAAATTATTATATTTGGGCACACTTTTTTTCACATATCAACTAGCTTTATACTGATTGTTCAACAAATTCAAGTCCCAGAGTTCTCTTGTGCTTCATTGTGTCACCAATGTGGATGGCAAACGTGCAACATGAACATTTTGTGTGATTACGTTTTTGATATCAACTATCCTAAACAATAGAAACTCAGAACTTATTTTTCCATTGTACATGTACTTGTTTGGGCTTATTGCTGCTGAATTTTTTTTTTTTTTTAATACAGAGCAGCAACAAAGGCAAAAGCATGACAATATAACAAATATAGAATTGTAGTTTTGAACCACAGATGACAAAAATAATCATTATAACAACACATCTGGACTACTATGTGTTCTACTGCAGGATTACTCTTTGTATAATACATATATTTAAAATATAGCCAATAAAAATTGACAGAATTTCTCATTAACCCTGGTAGCTTTTGGTATCTTCTAACTTCAGCAAGGGTCGTGGCACCCTAGCTATTTTAAAGTGGCCAGCAAGGATAGCCACGTAGAAGAGTGTACCTCATTTTATTAGTTAGCGTGCTGTCCTTAAATATGTTGGCTTTTTTGCTTCTGGAAAAGGTCCAGAAATTAAAATTGGGTTTTTGGTTGTCTTTCAGACTGAAATGTGTTAGAATTCAATTCTCTGCCCATGAGTGTCTCACACAATACAATAGAGACAATATCAGAAGATGAAAGTAAAAATTAGAGATATGCCAAACCAATCCTAAATCAATCCATCCTAAATTAATGCAACTATTGATAATGATTTTAAACAACAACAACAACAAATCAGGAACAACTGCTAAATGCACCATAAGGGTCTCGGGGACAATAAATACAACCTGGATATCTCCCAGGGAAACCAACATTTGGTCACACACAATATTGGGAAGTTCTTTACCATAGAACCACAACTAAAATGGTCACCTATTTAGAGTTCTGTTGATTATTCCCATTAGTTTGGGCAAGTTCCTTTATTTCTATAAACTCATAAAGTTGATATGAAGATTGAGTTCTAGGACAGAGAAAAGCTCAAAGTCTGATAGCTAGAAATATTAAGAGTAAGTATCTAGATGGATTTTCAGTGACCATAAAAGTTAAATAATCTCATTTTTAGTCCAGTTACATTTAGGTACTTTGAGTGTATTTTAATAAATTTAATCTGAAATCACAACTAAAATTCTTATATCACAATGAATACACTTAAAAATGCTGAATGTATTTAAAAATAGAAAACACATTGAATTAAAGATTACTTGGATATTCAGTTGCTTGCTTAGTGATTGAGGTGTGAAAATGGAAAACTATGAGCAGTAACAGAGAGGTCCCTTTACCATTAACATCTGTTACAGCCACAATTATTAATATTGTTACCATTTTTCACAGCAGGAATGGTTTCCATCTCCATTTTATATTACAACCAATAATTTGGGAAATGATTAATGAGCTTTTTAATTATAGATTGAGTTTATCTTAAAACAATCTGTGCCACTACAGCTGGAAAGGATCAGGCTTTAATTACAACCAGGAAAAACTCCACAGTGAAACCAAACATGTCCATTTTAGGGTACACAGACCTTCTCCATGCCTGCCTCACCTTCACACTTGACTGCTTAGCTCCATTTGTTAACACATGGTGCTATGAGGCCATGGCCATGTTTTCACTGCCCATATGTGCCAGTTAGCTTCACTGTTCCAGTGCTACAGATTGTTTTCGTAAACTTGGGCTGCCAACTCAACAATTTCTCCACTCATTCATCAGGGGATCTGGCAAAAAAAAAAAAAAAGAGAAAAAAAAAGAAAAACAAAAGCATGGGTTATCTGTTGTAAAGTTCAAACAACAGCTGATTGCTTGGGGATAAGGTTAAGAAGGCTTATCTTGAAAATCATAGTCTTCAAAATGTCATGTTAATTCAGAGGCTTCCTGTGACTTGATTACTTTTAGTTTAACTTTAAGAAATAACTATTTAAGGAAGGCAGCATAAAAATAACACTAGATCAGGAATTTGAAATCTGGATTTTATTCTGATCTGTTTTTCAAAGAGATGCATGACCTTGAAATGCCATCAAATTAGCCTACGCTCATTATCTTTTGGAAAGTGTGAGGGTGGCCTCACATAATTGCCCACCAAGCAAGCTCTAATAGTTTATGATTCTATAATTCAAGATGCCAAGCATTGGAAGCATTGTTTGATGATAAGGCTTCAGGCTGGAAAGGGGAACTGATGCATCTTAAAAACTCGAACTGTGTCTCAGGCAGATGGTTGTTAGTTGTTAGTTGTCAGGATCTCTTGTTGAGCAAAGATGTGCTCCCACGGACTTACAGGTGCTTCTGTTTTGTAGCACTGGTTTTGCAGTTTTGTTGCTTACAGGAGGAGTGCAAATCAGCCATCAGGCCAGGGGGAGAAATACATGATATTGGTCTTGATGAATTTGCTCACTAACTATCTTTCTTCTGTTGATCTCAGCAGACTTCTGCCCGGGGTGTGGAATGAGTACATTCTTCCCTGTCAAGTCCTGGCAATTATTTTCCACCATGAGCACAGTGCTCTTTTTAGCTTTGCATCACTGAGTAACAGTAAGGAGACAAACGCTATGACAAGAAATATCCATCCTTAAAACCATCTATTTATTTGTACCCAAAGATGTGTTGTTGAGGGTAGAGGTTGGTGTAAAATCTTGTGATATGTATGTGCATATACACCCATACACACACACACACACACACACAGACATACAGACATGCACACAATCTAGTAAAGTTCCTGTTTGCTAACTTAACGAGAACTATAACTATATTTACAATAGAGTCTAACATAGGGACTTATTTCTTTTAACAAATATAGGCTGGATAAGAATTAGAACTAAGTTGGTAAAGCAACTCTTCTTGAGGGAATTAAATTATTATACTTAATAAGAAGCACAGTATCCATTTTTACTTTATCCATAGTAACTACAATGGGAGGGATAGAGTGGGAATGTTTTTATTTATGAATGAATAAAGTTGCATGGATTACAAGTTGAGAAATAACTCAAACTTGATGTTAAATATCAATGCAAACAACCATACAGGCTTCAAAAAAAGTGTGCTAGAATTAATGAACGTGAAAAATAATTCAGTTAATCAGCAGTTTGATAGGTTTAGAGCAAAAATTAGAGAAATGGAAGAAAGGGTAAAAGTATTGGAAAAACACAGTAAGGAATGTAAGTAGAGTGTGAAAACTGCTGCGGAACAGATTGCTGTTATAATTAGAGACAACATTTCACTCTCCTTTAAATACAAGTCCCTGGAAATTGCTCTGAGTGAAAGAGGGGGAGGCACAGCTGTTTGAGTGTACAGCTGGTGGGAAAGACAAAGACTAGAGTCAGTTAGACATAAACCAGTTAAAAAGAAACTCACTAAGTAACAGTAACACCTGGCTTGAGCATAACCACAAATATGCATTATTCTTAAGGAAATAAAACATAGAGGGTTTTTATGGAGAATAAGAAAATTTTCTTGCATATAAGAATCTCTCCAACTAGTGGCTCATGCTTATAATCCCAGCACTTTGGGAGGCCAAGGCGGGTGGATCACCTGAGGTCAGGAGTTTGAGACCAGCCTGGCCAACATGGCAAAACTCTGTCTCTACTAAAAATACAAAAAATTAGCCTGGAGTGGTGGCACGTGCCTGTAATTCCAGCTACTCAGAAGGCTGAGGCAGGAGAATCGCTTGAACCCGGGAGGTGGAGGTTGCAATGAGCAGAGATTGCACCATTGCACTTCAGCCTGGGCAACAAGAGCGAGACACCATCTCCAAAATATATATATTTGGAGAATCTCTCCAACTATTCATTGTACAAAGAGGTAAAATACCTAAATCTGAAAGAACAATATATATTGAAATATGATGAGACTAATAGCATTAATTGTAACGCTGACATTCAATTGTGTCCTTTGTTTTACATAAATATTGAGAATAAGTGATCAAATACTTAGTGATTAATAAAAACTCTTCTCACTGTAATAGGCAAAAGAACATTCAGTAGGTGTCCTGGAAGGATACTCCACACACCCAATTACTAGTCTCACCCTTCCTCTGTGCGTTCTTCAGAAACGTGCACAGATTCAACCTACTCACTTATTTTGTCTTGCCATAAAAGTGCAAGACAAATGAGAAAAATGAATATGTACACTTTTGGTTTACAGCTGACCAAAATCTCAGAAACACCAGGATTGGACAGCTTGTTCTCTCATCTTTTAATGTTATCAAATATTAACATCTACATCAGATTTTTTTTCATAGTACACAGCAAACAATTCCTACCAGTGCCTTAGCTGCACAACTGTACAAGCAGACCCATCCTGTAGATATTCTTAAAGAGGCTGCTGTGATATTTGCCAAGAACACATTATCCTGTGAGTGAGGGTATTGTCTGAGATGAGATAGCAACTTTGTGAACCGACGCATAAGAATTCACAGACCATCTCTGTTTCACCTTCTCCTGATTATATTCACATGAAACCAAAGACATTTTATGATTCTTACCTCTTCAATACAGACAATTTTCCCTTTTCTAGTCTTCACCTCATTCTGCTAGGAAAAAAAAAGGGATGTACAGAGGGGCAAATTGTCTGATGAGAATCCAAAAGCCAAGATATCTTTATTGTGTACCCCTTCCTCTCTAGTTAGTGCTCCGTGGAATATTTATACCTTATCATCGTGAGGAAAGGAGCCAAATCTTTTCTGCTAAGTTAGAGATATTTTTAGTCAGAGTTTACACTGTGTTTTACTAGCTCTGGTTTAATCAGTAGTTGTTGATAAATTTAGTGTGTAAAAGTAAGAGATGTAACAACCCTCATTGCATCACCCCTTTGCTTGTATATAAAACAAGTATTTGTTGTATCTAACTTTATATTTAAATAGTCAATCATTTGTAAGGGTGTCTTGACTACCTATGCCAATCAATAAAGTGATTCTATTTTTATTTTGGAGGATATGGGTCACACGAGAAAGAATGAGACCAAATTTCTGATAACAAAGATTAAGTATAATCTGAATACTGTTATTTGGTCAACAAACAAGGTGACTCAAACAATGTTTGCAAACAAAAAGCTTTTTGCTCATATTTCTTAGAAATTTTTTTTTACTCATTCATCAGAACAAAATTTTAGCTCAATTTTGTAGTGGAACTTCTCTGAAGCCCTGGATTTGATATCATTATCTCCTATAATTTCCCATAATATTTCATATTTATTGATGACATTTAAGCATTTATTTAATAGCTATATTTCACATTAGAATATTTATGTATAAACAGAGAAAATATCTAGAGTGTCTGAAAGGACATGGCACATATTAAAAGCAAATAAATATTTACAGAGTATTAATTATTTCTTTATCCACCCATCATCTCCACAGATACTGCCTGAGCATCTGCCCTTGCGCAACTTTCATTCTACGAGAAGGAGTGACAATAAAACCTTTAAGTAAAATATCCAGTTTGTAGGAAGAAAAGAAATGTTAAAGAAAAAAGAAAAAAAATAGAACAGGGTGAGAAGGATTAGGAGTGTTGGCATGGAGGGTGGGGTGGCCTAAGATAGGTTTATTGAGAGCATGTGATCAGAATAAGTCCGAAGGAGGTAAAGGAAATTTCCCTTGAATTTCAAACTGAAAACTGCTCCATGCAGAGAAGAGTCAGGAAAATGCCTAGTATGTTCAAGAGACAGAAATTACTTTTGTTAAAACAGTACCAAGGATCCAGGTGCATTCTTATTTTATTTTCCCTTCCTAAGGAGTCATTGTATTTTTATTTTTTCAGAATGGCTTTTTCTGATTACCCATGAATTATTTTCACTGTTCTGAAGACAAGAATCCAAATACTGTCTTTTGACACCACAGATCTGTTTTCCAACAGAGACATCCCTTCCTTCCCTCTGAAATAACCATGGAGAAAATAGAGTTGAGATGTAATAGAGCTTAAAATCAACTTTATTAAATTGAATTTCTCCAGAATTGAGAAGACATCTCACTTTTCCTATAGCCTTCAGGTAAACACTTACAAAGAGGTATTTTAATATCCACTTAGACACACAAGGACAGCTCTTCAGGTGGTCTCAGAGAGGATAAAAAATTGCATATGTCATCTGCCAGAACAGATACTAAATTACCTTGGCCTACAGAAACTTTCTATTTGCCTAGAAGGTATTTATTTTCCCACTTGAGGTGTTGGGAAAACAATAGCCTAAACTTCCTATGACAGAAAATATATCAGTGAAAACTCAGTATCTCTTTAATCTTTTATTACATACTCTGTTACTGGTGGCCTAAACTTTTTGTGACAGAACATACATCAATGAAAACTCAGCATCACTTTAATCTTTTACTGTGTTGTCTGCTACTGTGTCTCTGTGATTACTGTTAGCATATCATGATCATTTGTTCATTTTTCTTTGTACGCATGTTTTTTACATTTCACACAGTATATTCAATCAAAATAATACGTAGATCACATAGGTTTAAATTGAATGCTTTCTGAAGCTTATTTAGTCTGTACATTGAATGCTACCTTTATAAGTACCTTATTTTTGGAAACATTTCAATATAATCAATCTATCAATATTTGTTAATATACTAGAAACTATTTGATTAACTGTATTATTTCACAACCATATCTCCCTTTGACTGTGTTTTTGCCTTAGAAAATTTGTTGTAATTTGTGCTAAAATAGGAAAAAATGAGCACAACAGCATAAGCATTATCCAACTCCTTTTGAAATTTAATTCT